CAATTTTGAAACAAAAACTTTTAATTAGATATTATAAGAATATGAGATGTCAAATTATTTCTTGAAGCTTTGATAGTTTTGGCCCTTTGTTGCAATTTACGGTTAGTTTAACTATTTCACTACTTAAATTTCTGTGCTTCTATATCAACATGTAATACATTTAAAAACTAATTGCTTATCTTTTCATAAGAAAATTTAAATAATAAATTATATCTAGGATTAAAATAGGTAATAAAATTTCAGCTTATGAAAATTTGCAAATAATAACTTTTAAAAATCAAAAATATTTTATTTTATAGTGGTGATATTAGAATTTTAAAAATGTAAAATACTTCTTCATAATATTATCCTGAGTATAAAATTGAATTCATAGGTTTAAAAATCAAAACTAAAAACCTTTTTGAGAGAGATTTATTTTTACAAAAAATTGGCAGCAAGGTTAATGAGAAAACAATAAAACTAGATTGAGTCTTAGACTAAGGGAAAAATAAAATAACTTTGGATAATTTTATTTTTATACAACTTTTCATACTAATAAAATAAGGGAAATAGTAGAAATAAATCAGAGTCAATGAAATCTATTGATTAATTAATCATAATTTTTTTTCTACATCAGTAAACTTAAAATGATTAATAGATTAGTTTATAATATATTTAAATATCATGTATGATTACCCTCCTTTTCCCATAAATTTATGAATTCCATCCACAAGATACCATTTGAGTTTCTTAAAAATTTAGGTTTACTTCATGAACATAATCTTGATGTTTCTAAAGGGAATATTAGAATTCAATTTATTTTATTATGCTGAGGATTAACTATATAATTCATACTCTTCCTTTAGTGTTACTATTTCTTTCAACCAATGATCTAGAAGAGCTATCATTTAATACATTGAATTAAGCAATTCTGTTTTGACTTACTAAATTTATTCTAAAAAAGATTCCCAATTAATTATAAATTGTTTAAAAGTAAATAGAAATCTAGTTAAAGATTTCTTCCTTCAATGTTTGCATTCTAAAAAGTCCTTAAGGAAAAGATATTCGATTTTATATTCCTAAATTATTTTTTATACATTATTGATACTAGTACGATCGCAATAACTGGACATTGAGTTTGTTTATTTCTATCATTGAGCAAGTTTTCATATAAATTAAATTTTATTTTAAGATTCTTTATTTATATATAAAAAAATTGAAAATAAAACTAAGATACATATATATATATTTCAAATTCTATTAACAAAATTATTTTCATGTTTTTTCATACCATTTGAGATCTTTTTATCAAACTTTTTTCAATTTAGATAATATTTATACAATAATTACTTAACTAAAATTGTAATTTTTCATTCCTAATCTACTCAAATTGCAGTTTATAACTTTTAGGAAGAGTCGATTAAAATTATGAATTTATAGATTACATACTTATTATTAATTATAGGTAATCTAAATTAAATGAACTTATAAGTAAAATAAAGTTTATAAAATCTAATTAGTAATAAATAAGTTTTATTTGAGAGTTTTAGAATTCTTTCAAACATTGACTCTAAAAAGTTGGTTATGAATTTAAGAATTTTTTACTGATGGATTGAGAAAAGTCAATTAAGTAAAAGTAAATGATAGTATTAATTAATTAAGTAGGATTAGATGATTAGAATGTTTATTTATTTATATCAGTGGTTCAAATTAATTTACAAAGAATACTGTATGACACTAGTTATTAAATTAATCAACAAAATAATCGTCTTCTGTCTTTGTTTTTATAATAGTTTTCTAAACAAAAATTTAAAATATATAAATTTCTGATGTGAAAAATGAAAAATAAACTACAATTTTAGATAAAATGATAACAAAATAATCATATGATGATTCAAATGTATTCGGTAAAATTTAAGATAGTTAAGTATTGTTTAAAGTATTGAAAGAACGAAATCATAAAAACATTTTATTTATTTTATTTAAATTTTAAATTCAATAAAGGGCAATTAAAATTAAATCTTTCTAAATCTTCATTTCAGTGTAATTGCAAAAATCTGCCCTAACCAATTCAAGCTTAAATTTCTAGGTTTTTCTTTCATAATCATATTCCTTCTAATCTTCTTCTTTTTTGTTCATTTAACTTGTTTCATATTTCTTATAAATTTAGTACACTTTAGATAAATTGTGTAGATCAAAAAAATACCATAAAAAATTTTTTGAAGATTATTTTTTCTTGAATTATTTATGATATCTTGATTTAGGTTAAATTAAAAAAAATTAAAAATTTTGATACTAATATGGGTATATAACCATTTCTTTATTAAGTATTTATGATTAGATAAGAATTTATACATTAATTTAATAATTTAATTTTATCCAATATATATAATACAAGTTGTTTTGATATCAATATGTGTTACCATTCAGCAATATAAAATATCTTTATTGAATGCTATTTTAAAAATAGGAAAATAATTCCGTTTGTCTCTTTAGTATCCTTCTTGCTGCTGAATTGATCATTTTCATTCTGTTAATTGTCTCTTTCTTCTGGGTACTCAAATATTATTTCTTCCTTAAAAATAATTGATTTAATAACTTTGAAATTATCCTTTCAGTTTTATTAATTTAATAAAGAAAAATATCTAATGCAAACCATAGAGATTAAAGGAAAGAAAATTTGTTAAGTTCAAAAATTGGAAATAGTAGCAAATTTGAATTTATAAACTAAAATAGATGATAAATATTATTGTGTAATATGTCTAACTGAGTTAGTGGAAAATAAAAATTGACTTTGCTTAATTATGCTGAATATTTAATCCTAAAAATTTTGCAAGGAAGATTATATTCTCAGAATAACTTACTTACAATAATTATAATCATCCATAAAATCATTGAAATTTTATATTAAGACAGCTTGGAAAATTACTTTAATAAATCGGTTAATCTATATATAGATCTAAAAAAGAGGTTGAATTATATGAAAATATCTTAAAAAAGAAGAATTTTGATAATTAAATTCAAATTCTATCAGAAGATTATAAAGGAAATTTTAACTATAATCTACCATGTTAAGAAACTAATACAGTAAAGGTATAGAATTAGCACAAAAATTTCTAAGAATCCCTATAATCCTATATGAAATAATCGAATTTTTCTTAGATAATGAAATCTATAGAATTAATATAATTTACTATCCGAATAAATTAATAGGCATTAATCAAAATTTTCATAAGAACTAGTATAGCATGAAAATTCTTCTCGAATATTAGACGAATACCTAAAATAATGGAATAAATAGTTATTTGAATTAGACAAAACATATATGGAAAAGTTGATTGATTTATTAATTAAAAAGATAAATATAAAGACCTTTAGGAACAATAAGATAAATAAGCTACTATTAATAACTTGGTTTATTCAAACAAAAATGATAATTTAGATTTTATTCTAAAACATTATTTAACTTTTAAATAATAATCTATGATAATTATGTTATAATTAGATATTGATATTATAGTCTAATAGATTCAATATAAATTGAAGATGAACATTTATAAGATTTAAAGGTAAATTCGGAAGTGTAGAACCCAATCTAAAAATTTTAATAGGAAATTTAGTTTGTAAATTGTTTCAATTAATATAATAATTTATCATTAGAATTAATTTATGATTGAGATCTATACCAAGAAAAGTAAATGTCATAAGTTATTGATAAAGAATTATAATATAAGATGTTAAATATGGAAATTTAATTTAGCATTGAAGAAAATAAATCTTAAATTAAATTATTGGAAAAATATCAAGAATCGCTTTTTGAGATTATAAACCATTATACTATTCCATACTTTTAAATGACTAAACAATTAAACTAAGCATAGTTTGTTAAATAAAAAATACTGTTGATAGATTGAATACAAAATAAATAAAATTTTTCAATAAATTTAAGTAATTAAAAAATTATAAAATTTATTAAATCCCTTTTAGAATTATAAATTAACATTTTTCGAATCATTTAAATTCCTTTAATATACTTAACCATAAATTTATTTTTTTAATTAATTTCAATAATTATTTTCAAGGTTAAATTTTTTAAATCAATTCACAGTAATTTCTTGATTTTTAATCAGTAGATTTAAATCTAAAATAGTTACATTTTGAATCATCTATGAGATTTCATATAATTAACCTTCTCTTTTCTTACTGTTGAAATCGCAGTTTTATTCTTCTATTGAGTAACTATTAATTCATCTTTTGATTAATTCCATAAATCTCTATCCTTTTGTAAATTTTTTATTATTATAAAAGATACACCCTCTTAAAATTTAATTTCAACTGATTAAAACTTTTAATAATTAAAAATTTGTTAGATATATTAATTTAAAAAACTTAGAAGGAATGATTTGAGAAAATAATTTACATAAATGTTTTATGTTAGGCTCCATGAATGCTGATTCATCTTTTATTTATTTCAGCAGAAGTATATTTTTAATATGATAGTATTAGAAATATAAATTTGATTATAACTCTAATCACTTTTGACAGTATATCCTTTTGAATTAGGGACTCTTAAATTAATATGGATTTTTTAATTATAAAGAAGATTATAGATTGATTGATGTTGTCAAAATATTCAAATTAGTTGAGCTGCCCTAAAGAATATTATTTTAAATTCTTTAATTCTCATTTTGTTGATTCAAATTAAGTATCTAAATACATCAATTGTTCTAATTTAAAATCAAAATTATTTTCTTAATTCATTAGCTTATTAATGTCATATTTTGAAATTCTCATCAATGAATACCTTGAATATCGATTATACGATCTCTATGTCAATACACTCATAGACACATTAATTTTTCATTATTTCTTGTTTCTTTTTTGCTTCAACCTTCTAAGCTATAATGGATTAGATTATAAATAGAATTGCATACTTATTCTCTGATTTTTCTATTTTTATATCAATTAAGTTTTTTACAGTCAACTATCTTATTTTCTACATTGTTTATCTAGTTACTATGGCTAGTGTTTCTCTTGAGGTTTAAAATTTTTATAATCTACTTTTAATTTCTAAGTTTGATTTTCTATTGAAACCTTATATCTGTAAAGGATCATTCATAGCTCTAAATTAAGGTTACTATCGATATTTTTATGACTTTTGCATTTGGAAGTAATTATAGAGGCAATTAACTATAAGGTGTTTAGAAAATTCTTAAAAAGCTAATCCATTAAGGACATTTTTTCTCAAATTTAATTTCATAACGTGTTTTACAACTTTAGTTTTTCTAATTTGGATGTGAAAAGTGAAATATTGTCAAAAATATTGAATTTTGTTAAAATAACCTAGTGTTTTAACTAAATATAAAAAATATGGTTTAATGAAAAAGAGAGTTGGTGAAATTAAACCATAAAATTGGCAGCAATATTATTTATTTTTTATAAATTTAGATTCTAACTATTATTAATTTGAGACTAATATCTTTTGAACAACATGATCTTTAGAATAAAAAATTTACATAATTTAAAAATATATAAGTATAAAACCAAAAATTATTATCTGAAAATTTTAAGTTTAATTATTTTCTTAGTTATTGTAAAAATCAAAAAAGAAAAGAATATCTTCAAAGTTAATATATTCAGGATAAAAAGATGGATTAAATAATTTTCCCTTTTGGAATTGTAGTAAAGGAAAGGGTAATTTACTTGTGATATTTAAATCTTTAAGTGGAAATATTCTTGTTAGTTATCGCCATGTGTATGGTAGCATCATCCTCGTAATTATGTTTAGGATGATTAATTATCATCATTTTTATTCTCTTAAACACATAATTAAATCTATCCTTTGAAAAAAATGAAAATAATATGCAATTCTGTGTAATTCTAGTTTTGGAACTAAGTTTGGATAAGCTCATGATATCAGTATATATTCTAACTTCTAAGATGGATATTCTGATATAGGTGATACATATTAATATGATAATTATGAGGAACACATTTATTTGGATAAAAAAACCAAAAATTATAGAATGCTAAATATTTGAATTATAATTTATGTGAAGCATTAAATAATATTATTATTAAAGATATTTGATTGTAAGATCTTTAAAATTAAAATTTAATTTGTTTATTTTGTGAATGTATATACAAAGGAGTTTATAAAAAATATATTGGATAAATTCCAAAAATATTCTTAATTTCAAGAATAAATAAAAGGGAAGTTCAATTTTACCAATCATCAGCATTCGCTTTCTAAAGACAAAGAATAGAAATAAATATTGAGAAAGTTTTTTTGCAAGTTAATATATTCATTGATAGTAGGTAAATATTATTTTTAGTAATTTTCTTAGAAATTAAACTTAATTATATAAAGTGTTTATATGAGTTTAAAAAATAAGAAGGACAGATGTATTTTAAAATCTCTTTTTCAATAATTTAAGCTAATTATAATCAAATATTTTATGAATTCATTTTTCTCTATTTGCTTTTTAATTGTGATTTAGGGGATTTAATTAAGTTGAATACTCTTAAGAAAAATGTGAGATGTGAGCAGTTTCTAGCAAGCCAAAAATTATTTAAGTAGAATAATTTACCAAGAAAAGAAAAATTCAAGTTTAAGTTATAATTAGAAAATTTATATAAAGGTGTTAAGAAATTATATTTACTTTTAACATGAACAAACTTGTGATAGTTCTTGATTTTATACATTAGGATTTGGGAAGTCATTTTTCATAATTTTTATAGATAACAATAGCTTATTTGAAAAAGGATATTAATTGTAATTAAATTTAGTTATATATTCACAGGATTTTATCTGCATCTTAAAAAAAGTATGATCTAATTATTTTATCTAGCACAGCATTATCTTTATATTAAAATATTCCATTTCATAACTAGGGTTAATATACATTACAAATTAGATTTTATAGCATCATCATATATCCTTTAAATGAAAATAGGCAAAAACTATTTAATGGTTAGGAATAATTATAAAACTAATAAATCAAAAACAAATTCTTGACCTTTGCCATTATATGCCTTAATATTTGTTCATCTCAATAGCCTCTAAGGTTTCAATGAATTAATTAATTCTCTCTGAATTTGGTAAGCATCTCCTAATTATAAAATATGATTGTGCGCCTTCCAACTTTAAATTAAAATACCTCTTCTGAGGTTATTGATAAAATTAATAATTGGATTGAACAATTCAACTATGAATTACAAAAACTAAAGAGCAAAATATTTGCTCAAAGTGGATTAAGTAATATTCTTGGTTGGAGAATATTAAGAAGCTCTATTATAAACAAAGCAATTTAATTTGGATAAGATAGAAATTTAGAAAGTTTAATATTTATATTAGATCTTTAAAAGAAATATGAGTATTCAATTAAATAAATAAATTGTTCCTATTAAAAAAATACATTAGCTAGACTCTTTGAAAAAGGAAATAGTATCAGATTAAATTTATGTATAGATGATAAATTTTTGTTTTTGGGAATCTTAATAACAAAAAAAGAATTTTGTAAAGAAAAATACAAAATCATGAATTAAATTCTTTAAAAAACAATCTAGTCTGTGTCGCATTTAATCTATAAGCAACAATCATGACTAGCTGTTCATAAAATGAGATCAAAGATAGGGAGATTTCAGGATGTAATAAAGAATGATTGTATATAATGAATTTAAGGATATAACAAAATAGATTATGCGGCATATTTAGTTTTAAGTGGAAAGACTAATTTTTTATAGCAGATAGCTTTGTTTCATCAATTATACTTTATTACAAAAAAATGATAAATACTTTAATAAAGTTAGGATTTCTTAATTTTCATTCTATAAATAAAGCTTACATAATTATCTAGTTTGATTATTTGTTATAACAAATAGTGTTAATATCAAAAAATAACATATCAAATTTATGTAAATAGTCCATGATTTAATATTTTATTTAGAAAAGATGTCAATAAATAAAAAAAAATTTAATGAATTTAATGACCATAATAAGTCTGATGTTGGATGTAGAGTTTATAAAAACTCAAGAATAAATCTATTTTATTCATTTTGTAACACAACTTAATAATTTATAGTTGATTCTAACCAGATAAAATGTTCTGTTTGTATCATTTTTGATAATTTGAATTAGGTTACTCATTTTTAGTATGATTTAAGACATAGCTTAGAACTACTATTCCTATTTATAAGTTATTTGTGCTAGAAGATCATACATAGGTTATTAATTTTTTTTACTTTTTTTCTCCTTTCTTTTTAATTAAATTTTATAAATTATTATGGAGCTTAGATAATTTTTCATTAGTTATCGAAATAAATGAAAATAAATATTCTTTTCAAATTATATTACAGAAGAAAATCATCATTTATTCCGTACAATAATGGTTTTGCAACCAGATACAACTTGGAAGGTTATATTGTAGTATCTCAATAAAAAATTATAACATTTAAAATTATTTAATATTGTGTTCTACCTTCTATGTTTAACAATGGACAGACATATTTTTGAACATACTATTTATGAATAATTCTAATTTTAGATACTCAAGTGTCACAACGAATATTTTTTTAAACAAAGCATCATGAAGAGGTGTAAGTTTTATAATAAGATCAATTTAAATTATCAATAATTTTTATTTAGAAGTAATTAAGATAAAAAGGATTAGTTATATAAGGAATTATTTTCATAATTTATTAAAAATTAGCATTATAGATATTTTCATTTATCATTATGTATCTCTATCATAATAAGTAATCTAAATTAAATATATTTTTAAGTACAAATTCATGCTTTCACAACTCTGCATCAAAAAATTTTAGGTTAATTTAGAATTTTTTAAAAGAAAATAAAGATGGAAAGGATTAGATTTAAGCAGGGGGAGACATAGAATTAATAATTATAATAATTAGTAATTTAGAAATATTATGTTCAAAAGCTTAAAAACTAATTCCTATTTTTAAATTAAATATCCAATTTTATTTTTTAGTCAAATTAAAACATAAAATTATAATTGAAAAATAAAAGGACATCTTTAACTTATATTTACTTTTCAAATCTTTTTTGAACCTATTAAATTAGATGCAGTTGTTATATTTGAATACTTCTAATTTGATTTTCCTAGTTGTTTGTTTCTTTTCCTTATTATTCTTAATAAAATTTTAAACAATTATTATTCTTGAATATCTGAAAAAATAGAAAGTCTTGACAGTTTACTGAAAGATCTTGGCTAGGGTTATTACCTTGATATTATTTATTTGATTATTAAGTGATAAAAATTATACTCATCAAATTAATATTCTTAAATATCAATATATATTTTTATTTCATATAATGGCTCCCTATCACTATCATTTTTAATAAAATATTGATTTACTGTTTAGTCTCAGATTAATTAAAAAGAAGGATTATTTATCCCATTTTTTCTTTTGATCAAATAATTTAAAATTTACAATATTCTAAGTTTATTATATATAAAATCTAATCAAGATAAGTCTGTAAAAATTTTTGACCAATCAGCTTGGGGTCGTTGAAATTGATTCACTATTATAGCATATAATCTTGAGTGATCCAAAGCCAGATATCCAGAAGGCAGAGAAGAAATAATATTATTAGAAATGCAACAAGTATCATAAAAAATCTTTGATATTTTTTTGAATCAGGTTTTTTTAATAAATTTCATAATATATTAATTAAAAAAATAATGTAATTTTTAAGGATGCGATTACTAATTTTTGTACAGAAATAATTAATATGGTTCATCAAAAAAAAAATTAGGTTAGTCAATATTAGTATTTCTAGCTAGAACCATGATAAAAGGGTTCAATAAATAAATTTTAATTATGTATGAAATTAGATTGAATGAGTAAAAAAAACAGTTTTATATAAAAGAATCTGTATTGCAAAATATATAAATTGAAAGTAATATCAAGTTTACGTATAATATCAATTAGCCATAAAGTTATTTTTAGAATAATTGAATTTGCTATATAATTATAATTTTCACTATGTTTGAATAATTCTGATTCTAATTAAAATTACATTTTTTTTACAAAGCAAAAAAAATGACTAAGGAACCAAAACTGGTTTTCAGGTCACTAAAAGGTTAGGAGACCTACACCTACCTAAATGTAGAGCTGTAAGGCAGGATTTGGAAGCCACTGGGCTGATAGTGGAAGGGCCTGAAGCTGTTTAAGTTCTCTCTCCATTTTTGAAACTCATCAAAGACTACACATTGTACTAATCTGCGGAATTTTGAAAGTAATTTAGCCTTAATGAAATTAATAAAGAGGAAGATATAAGGAATATCTCTAATTTCTTATCTCAGTCTCATATACAAAAGATACAAAATCCAGAGTGAAATTAAATACTATAGTATCAATTCTATAGATATGTAGGTAGATATTTTAGACATTGGAATTTAGAGATGTTTAAATTTATTGTGAACTTGAGAGTTAATAGAAGTAAGTCATAGAAGTAAGTCATAGATCAAACCTTAGATATTGCGCAAAGGAGTTAAGTGAGATTTTAGACTCCAAGAAAACCAAATGAATTGAGAGAAGATTAGCAGAAGGTTATAAAGCAGTACATGGCTAATCTTGTTAAGACAAAATAGATGATAAAATGTTGATATTTATTTAAATATAAATATCATAAGAAATTTAACACTATTATTTTTATCAATAATTAATAAAAACATTACTAACATCGAATATCATATTTATCTTCATTACCCTATCTATATGTGCGATCAGAATTGATATAACAAATCACTCCATCAAATCTATAATAGGTTTCTACAAATGGCACGCATTTACTATTTTACAGCACACGCAGTTCTACTTGAGGGATCGTTAAGATAAACCAAGACATTTGGATTACTCTTCATAATTGTAATCTTAACATTGAAATGGAAAACAACAATTTAAAAGTAACTCCATTCACATGAAGATATCAAGCTTAAACAAACTGCTAAACTATTTACATTATTACAAGAAGTAATGGCTCAACATAGATTTTTTATAGAGTTACAATAACAAAGCAAAAGTTCATAAGTAAAAAATATATTTTATATTTTTCACATGAATTCAAACTATATTTTGATTAGCATATTCCATTTTAAAAAAATTAATATTACAAAGATTAAGATATAGAATCTAAATTAGTTAAGCCTTTTTAATCAGTA